GTGCTTGCCTTGCATGCACAAGGCATGGGTTCAACCCCCCCCCGCCTTGACACATACATACTCTTGTTTGTTTTTAGCTGTAGATGGTTTTTAATCCTGAATTCTAAGCTACCTTTTAGAGACTACCAGTTTTGGGGGGATATTTCTCTCGTATATGAAGTCTACATGATGTATAATACATGTTTGTTTTTCTCTCATTAATTTTGCTTTAATGGAAATTTAGGACAATTATTTTTCCTCCCCTACACATGCCACTTGGCTTAAAAGAACAATGGAATAGCTCATTTTGTGATTTTGGAGGAAGTTTTTTTTTTTTTTTTAAGTGTTCCAATAAGTAGTTAAAATACTGCTGATGTAGGTAGGAAGCAAGTTCATGTAGTTTCTCAGTATGACTATAGTCAAAAGATGAGTACTTAACATGTACAAGGCCCTAGTTTCCATCCTCAGCACAGCAAAATAGAAAAGAGAACTGCAATACTGCAACTGATCTTTGATTATGTGAGCTTTATGTTTTGGTACTGTTTCTTCTTTTTTTAACGTATCCAACAAATATTTTATTTTTTGTTCTTTTTAGATATTCATGACAGTCAAATGTATTGAAGGATGGGTATCAGGGATTGAACTCAGGGGCACTAGACTACTGAGTCACATCCCCAGCCCTTAGGATGTATTTTGACCTATTATACATACATGGAGTATAACTTTTTCTAATTAGGATCCCATTCTTGTGGTTGAACATGATGTGGAGTTACACTGGTTGTGTCTGATTCATTCTACTGTTTTTCCTATTCCCATGTCTCCTCCGTTCCCTTAATTCCCCTTTGTCTAATCCAATAAACTTCTATTCTTCCCTTCTCTCCTTATTGTTTGTTAGCATTGCATATCAGAGAGAACATTTGGCCTTTGGTTTTTTTGGAATTTGCTTATTTCACTTAACATGATAGTTTCCAGTTCCACCCATTTACCAGCAAATGCCATAACTTCATTCTTCTTTAAGGCTGAGTAATATTCCATTATGTATATATGCAACATTTACTTTATCCATTTATCTTTTAAAGGGTATCTAAGTTGGTTCCATAGCTTAGCAATTGTGAATTAAACTGTTATAAACATTGATGTGGTTGCATCACTATAGTATACTGGTTTTAAGCCCTTTGGGTATAAAATGAGGAGTGGGATAACTGGGTCAAATGATGGTTCCAGTCCAAGTTTTCTGAGCAATCTCCATACTGCTTTCCATAGTGTTATCAATTTATAGTCCCAGCAATGTGTGATGTACCTTTTCCCCCCACATCCTTGCCATCACTTACTGTTGCTTATATTCTTGATAATTGCCATTCTCACTGGAGTGAGAGAGAATCTCATTGTAATTTTAATTTGCCTTTCTCTAATTGCTTGAGATGTTGAATATTTTTTTTCATACATATTGCCATTTTTATGTCTTCTGTGTGAAGTTGGCACTGCTTCTTATTAGTTGGATAATAAAACAAGCATCTTCCCTTCTCTAATGAATTTTTTGGTTATCATTTTATTTGAAAGCTCAGTCCATCAAGAGAACCCAATTTTGGGGTCACAAATATACTCTGACACTCCATAGTTACTTACCTTCCTGGTTCTCTTCCTTCATTTCATAGCAGAGAGCCCTGAGTTAGGACAAGCTACGTCAAGACCCAGTGGTCCTAGGATATCTTTTTTTTTTTATATTTACTTTTTAATTTAGTTGGACACAAAGGTATTGTACCTTTTTAAAAAAAACCCAGGGCCTCACACCTGCTAGGCTAGTACTCAACCTCTGAGCCACAACCCCAGCC